TTTTTTTTTCTAAAAATTTTTGATTTTGTCTTCTCGTTTCGTTGGCTTATCGGGGCCAGCGGTGATAGAAATTATTCAGGCATGTCACCAGTCACCAGTATTTCTCGAATTTTTAAATGGCAGATCCTTATGCTGCTGAGAGTGGAGCTGTCAGCACCGGCATTTTTGAAAATGGGAACAATAAACCGCTGAGTCCTTTCTGTTCCTTAATAACTTCTTTTAGGTCAAATAACGATCATAAATAGTTTCTATTCTCAACTATTATAAAGAAATTATATTTTCGATTTTTTTTAGATAGCAATTAGAGAAATTTTCTATTTTTCATTCGTTTCTTCAATAATATTTCATAAATTATAATAAAAGTTTCAAAAAAAAAGGGAAATGCACCGGTTTTTCGAAAAAATAGAGGAAAAAAATTTTTCCATATTTAATGCTGTTCGAGTAATTTTTGCGAATGTTACTATCTCGTTTTTTTTTATAAAAATAAATAAAATATAAATAACATATAAATAAATAATATAAATAAATATAAAGCTTTCTTTAATTTTTAAAATTTATATTATTCATAATTTAATTACGATTTTTTTTTTAATTTTAAAATTATAATTTGTTTTTAATTTTCAAAAAAAAAACGAGTTGTTTAATTCAAATTAATTTTAACGCTTTTAACGCAGATTTATTTATTCATAAAATTTATTTATTGGAATAAATTTATTATAAATACTTTTAATCTATTTTTGAAAAAAATTTCTAAAATTAAATATATTTTACGATAATTTCTACTTTCTACTTTCTATATTTCTTTTGCTGACAAATATTGCATTGTCATAGTTCAGATAATTCGTTTTTTGGCAATATATTATTTATTTTTTCTTGGTGTCCCGAAATTGATTCGTCTTCTAACAACTCTCATTATTACTTGGCTGCTTGACTCAAGGGTAAAATATTTCCAAGCTGTTCTATCCGATAGAAACCATTCCTAAGTTTGTTAAAGACAGAGCTACTGATGGATCTCAAGCAATTACTCGGATTTCTATTATCATTGCTATTACTATTATTATTATCATTATTATTATTACAGGTTAACTCCTTTCAGAAACAAGTGGACAAAAGAAAATAAAATTAGGATAAGAATAAAATAAAATAGAAAATAAAGAATAAAATAAATTATAATAAAATTTAAAAAAAGAAAAATAAAATAAAACTTATTTTGAAAAAATATCTTCTGGAACAGCGAAAAATTCTGGAATATATAATTCTGGGAATTCTGGAATTCTGGAGAAATACATAAATTTGGCATCCAACAGATTTTACTTTTAATCAAGCAAATCCATGAATTCCTTAATATTATTTTATAATTATCCTTTATTTATCAATTGTTTTATATGTTATTTTCAATTGAAAAGAATAATTATGGTAGATGGAACGTGAACGAAGTTCAACCTGGATTATCCTCGTTCCATAGTTCAAATACATTTCGTTCGTTGCCCGATGGCTCATTTCGAGAATTGTTTCGTCGTTTCATAATCGTTCATCAACAATCGTCACATTAAATACTATCTTACTGATTATTTTTCAATAATTATATATTTTATACATAAATTAATATATAAATTAATTATATATAAATTAATTTTCATTTTTCATACCTTTGATAAAATTTTGCTGATTGATAAACTGATAAACAAATTAGTTTCGACGAAATAAATTGGAATATCAACCAATTAAAAATTATAAAAAAAAAAGTTGGTTTCGAAAAAGTTTTAAAAATCATACCAATTTTTTTTTTGAATATTTTTAATTAATATTAATATTTGGTATCGTTATAATTTTTTGCAAAAATTTCCTTAACAAAATTTTCTTAGTATTATTATCATCATTATTATAATCTAAAATTGCGATCTACGCAAGTGAAATAGTCTAAGATATGTTGGAGATAGAGCGGAGTTGTGGGTAAATAGGTGAATTCTCAGCAACTATTCGGATCACTCGAATTTTTAAATGTGAAAATAATAAAAAAATAAAAATAACAAAAATAAATAAAAATAATGAAAATAATAAATAATATTCGAGTGTAAATATTTTATTTTCGAAAATAATGCCTTAATTAAAATTAAAATTGATTAAATTAAATTTTACTTTATTTTTCAGAATCGAGCCTAATATTATAAAAAAAAAAAAAAAAAGATATTTTATGCCTAATGATTAACAAAATAAATGTTGTCGCAAAATTATTGTAGCTTATTCTAGAAATTGCGTTTTTGGCCACAAAAGCGATTATTGCCTTATTTATTTTAAGTAGATTCGGTAAGTTTTCTTGGATTGCATATTTACAAAATTTATATTAATATTTATATTAAGAATACTATTATTGCTAATAAATCTTAAGTAAATAATTTTTAACCTAAATAGTGATTTGGTAAGTGAAAAGGAAAAAATAATTGAAAATTGCTGTTAAATTTGATATTAATCGACTTTTTATCAGTTTATCAATTTACGAGTTATCATTATTTTCATTTCCTTTAATATGTATTTTTTATTCGAATAATTCAAAAATTTTTAATCCCATCTAAAATTACCGATATCATTCTTTATTGCATTCGATAAAGCCGTTGGTTTCAGATTTATAAATATTTGCCGATAATGCCTGCGAAAAAATTACTTAAACGATTTTCGAATAGCTTATCAGGTTTATCTTTTTTGTTTAAATGCTTCAACGCCCTCAAGCATTTTCAAATTTCATGCTTTTCATAACATTTCCATATTAAAATATTTATTGCATTGTTCTATATTGTTTCTTTTAAAATATATAAAAATTTTAAAATATATATAAAAATAAAATATATATAAATTTTTGCGATTAATATCGTAGAGAATTCTACTCATTGAATTTTTATGAGTTTTTATTTTTATTTTTTTTTAATTTTTTTAAATTTTTTTTTCTTATAAAAATTAATTATTTTCTTAAAATATAAAATCTAAAATATTATCTTTATTTGTAATGAATAAAGGAAATTGCTAAGTTCACTCATTTAGATTAGATTAATATTTGTGACCTTATTTATTTGTATTTCGACAAATGACCCTTTGGTTTTTTTTTTCACAAGTTAGTGGAACGAACCAAAAAATAATTTTAGAAATTTATTAGAGATATTAAAAAGATAGAAAATCGCCGAGCTAATTATCGCTTAATAAAATTATACTTTTTTGAAATAAAAATTAAAAAAATTGAATAATTCAAGTGGAAAAAAAATCATTTTGAAAAAAAAATTTAAATTGACTGGAAAAACAATAAAAATTCTCGTTATAGCGATGCTTTAAAAATTTTTCATTCCATAATATTTCTATCGACACTATTTCACTATTTGGCTAATTGTACAAATTCGTCGAGGTAAAATAAATTTTCCTATGGAATTATTTTTTGCAGATAAAAAAATACCGCTGAGTAGTTTTAGCAATTACTTGAATTTTTTAAAAACTAACTAAAATAAAAATTCTCGTTATAGCGATGCTTTAAAAATTTTTCATTCCATAATATTTCTATCGACACTATTTCACTATTTGGCTAATTGTACAAATTCGTCGAGGTAAAATAAATTTTCCTATGGAATTATTTTTTGCAGATAAAAAAATACCGCTGAGTAGTTTTAGCAATTACTTGAATTTTTTAAAAACTAACTAAACTAATCTTCGCTAGAATGGAACCGCTTCAAATTGATAAGATCAATATTGATAAGATCAATTCAAATCTTTCGTGCTGATATTTGTATATAATATAATATTCTATAATTTGTATATAATATTCTAATATTTGTATATAATATAATATTATATAATATTCAAAAAAGCTATAAGAAAATTAGAAATTATAAGACGAAAATAAGCGAAAGCGATAACGATTAATGATAACGATAACGATTAATGATAACGATTAAGATAAAGAAATTTGAAAAAATTTAAATATTAAAATTTATAAATAAATAATCAAAAAAGCTATAAGAAAATTAGAAATTATAAGACGAAAATAAACGAAAGCGATAACGATTAATGATAACGATTAAGATAAAGAAATTTGAAGAAATTTAAATATTGAAATTTATCGGCGAAAGCTTTCGAACTCTCTTGCAAATAATAATTCTATGAAAATAAATAATAAATTCTTTTTTTTCCTCATTTATGAATATTCTATGAATAATTCATATATATTATTTCTTTTTTTTTTTTTTTTTAAAGTCTAATAGCCTTCAATGGAAGCGTAAAAATAGTATTTATAAGGAGAATTGTGAATTTTTAAGGGATTACAAAGTTTTATTTTTAGAAATGAACAAATCGAATTTTCTATTTTCTCCTATTTTTATTTTAAATTTACGAGGTGTTTTTTTTTATCAGAGATTTTAGTTCATTTTTTATCAGAGATTATAGATTATTTGAAGATTATAGTTGAACACTTGGAAATCGTTAGGAATAGCCATTTAAGTATTTGTGGTTTAATGCCTTCTCCCTTTAGTTAGTGTTAATTTTATCATTGCAAAGATTCAGAAGATTTAAGAGATGTTATTTGTTTTCTTTGTGAATCTACTTGGAAATGATTTTCTCCTGAAAACCCTTCTCATTCTAATAGAATAAATGATCTATTTGAATGATTCAAAAATTTTTATAAATATTTTTATTAAAAATAAATTTATTTATAAAATTTAATTTTTATAAATAATGTAATTTAATTTATATAAATTTATTTAAAAAAATGATAGATTATAAATTTATAGAGAGCAAAATAGCAACATTTGAAGATAAATAAATAAATAAATAATATAAGTAAAAAAAATAAAATTATTGTAAAATTATAATAAAAAAAATAAAATTTTTTTTAAATTTTTTAATTAAATCAAATTTTAAAAAAAATAATTTATTGTAGATTTGTTGAATATTCAACGAAAACACGAATCAATGGATCATCGAAATGAGTTCGTTTAATAAGCATTTATTGTTAATTCCGAGTAAAATACCAAAGATTTATTGGATGTACCATGAATTTAGGCATCATCGACTTAGTTTCTATCTCTTGTCGAGAAAGACTAAAAGTCCCTAGTGTTATAGTTCGTAGTCTCAGCATCAGCAAGCCTTAGTCATCACCAATCACCACGTGGAAAATTATGAATATTATAAGACGAGAAAGTGAAATAATTATTAATTTTCTTATTTTGATCTAAATTAAATTGATCTAACTAACTAAGAGTACCAACGATATAAAATTTCAATCATTTCAAATTTCAAATAGGATCATTTTTTTTTCCTCTAAATTCTTTTAAGAAAATTTTAATACATCAATGAATTGGTTCCGCAGGGAACTCCTTGAAGTGCATCTCTCTCCGATAAGAACCAACTAAACCAAAGGTGGTGAATGGTACCTATTATAAAAATAAAAAATAAAGTCCTCCTCTTTATTTTTTTCCACCAATAAAAAAACCAATATTTTCATTAATAAGTCAGAATTTTTTTATTTATCAAAAATTTACCCATATATTTTTCTTTTTAGTGGAACTTTATCGTTACATCATGCTATCAGTGTAGGTGATGTTAGTATGGCAAAATGTTTACTTGAAAATAAAATAATTTGGGTTGATGTCGAAGATTCACAAGGTTATTTACATAATATTTTTTTATATTACCTTTTTTATTAATATTACTTTTTTTTTTCTTACAAATTTGCATATTCCATTTTATAATTTAGTTAAATTGCTTAAATTAAGAAATTTTTATTACGTTGGAATTCAGGTCGTACCGCTTTACATTATGCTGTTTTACAAAGCGATATTGGTCTCTTATCGTTACTACTAAAACATGGAGCAAATGTGGATGCTATTGATTATACGGGAACAAGTCCTGCTCATTTGGCTTGTGAAGAGGGTATGCTTGATGCGGTTAGAATTTATTCTATTTTGTAATATTTGGGAAGGAATTATGATCGAAAATTTTGAATATTTTTTAAATATATTTTAATATTAAAATATATTTTTATTTAATATATTTAATATTAAAATATATAATTTAATATTTTAATATTAAATTTTTAATAATTTTTAGCAATTTTTAAATTTTGAATCTCTTAAATACTACTAATTAGGAGCAGAATAGCGCAATGGGTTGTTGCTCAATTCGGAGCGCCGATGATAAGGTTCTACTCCTTGACAGGAATAAATCTGTCAAAAAATCTTCTGACGACTTACTTGTATTTATATCATCAAGAGATTCCCTGGTCTTGTACGACAAGATGTAGCGAGTCTTACGAGCGATGATAAGGGATGTTGAAAAAAAGCTGTCACCAATTATGGGCTTTTTTTTTATCAACTGAGAAATATTTTAGATTAGTTTACTACTATATTACAAAGCCGATATGTTTGCGGTTGATAACAGTGGAAGAACTCCATTTGATCGAGCTTGTGAGTATGGTCGAGAAAAAGTAAGAAATTTGAATAATGGTTATTTTCTTTTATCCACCAAATTTTCTGTTTATCCATCTCGAGCATATCGAATATAATTTCTTTAATCTTGGATAATTTAAAACATTAAAATATTATTCGATATAAAAAATATTTATTTTTTGGGTAGAATGGCTCAGTTGTTAATTGCTCTCATTCTGAGATACCTGCGCTAGGATTATATTCCCGACTGGAATAAGCCTATATTCCGAGTAGTTATAATGATCCGACTTAGTTATAAAATTCTGAGTGATAAAGATTTCGTGATAAAATTTATCTGTGGTTGATCGAGATTTATCAGTAGATCGCATTATTTTCAGGTCGTCGAACAATTGCTTAATAGTGGTCTTACATGGAGTTTACTCCAAAAAGCGAATGATAATCATACGGCATCGGCTCTTCATTTAGCTTCAAGGAACGGTCACGTCCAGGTTTGTCGCTTTCACACTTCAGTAGCTCCATTTTTTTTTCATACTTATCTATTATAGTTCGTCAGTCAGATAGGTTTTCTCTTGTTAATCAAGTTAAGAATAGATTTCAGATAGTTTCATATCTCATTGAATGTGGTTGGCCATTGAATCGTCTAACATCACAAGGTAGTGCTTTATTTGAGGCAGCGGCATATGCACGAATTCAAGTTGTACGCTACCTTTTATATGTAAGTTTTTTACCTTTATATGATTTTTCTTATTTTTTTATTTTGCTAAAAAAAAACTAAGGCAATTTATAGATGGGTTGTGATCCGACTATTACAAACGATTCAGGCGAAACTGCAGTTGATATTTGCAAAAAAACATCGAGCAATAATCCAATAACGTCTAAAGAGATACGTTATTTGCTGAAAGGTTATCATTATCATTTATTATCATTATCATTTTCGAATAGAATATCAAATAAAAAAATTATGGAATGAATATAAAATGAAAAAAAGTAAGCTTATTTTTTCATCGGATTGATTTTTTTTCGAATTTCTCAAAAAAATCCGAATTGAATTGAAAAATTTGCGAAGAATAGTATTTTTTTAAATTTAATATTTATATAAAGTATTTCATTTTATTGAATATTCGATAAAGGGCAATTCAGTTTTTATTTTATTACAAAGGCATCAATTTATCATCAATATATTTGGCGAATCGTAATGATAACATTCATAAGCAATTTTTTTTTTTTCATAGCTTAGTTATTATAGTTTGGATAAAGCGATTAATTCGTTTATCGTTCGTAGAAGTAATTTCTGCGAAGTAATAATTTTTATTTTCATTTTTTTTTTTTAAATTGAAGGAATAAATACTGCGAAAAATGATCTCCCATGTGATATGATTTGATAAGATATCTCTTTTTCTTTTTAGTAGAATGAATGAGCGAAATCATGAATCGTTTATTTGAATTGATTAATTATATCTTTGTTCAACGTAAATTATCACAATCTATTATCATTGCTCGTTTTCATTTCATAAACTCGTTTATCACATCAATTTTTATGAAATTTTCTTGCAAAAATATTCATTTATCATATTCGTATTTATTGAAAAATTAAAAATAACTATAATATATTTGTGGAAAATCTGCTTAAGTCTGATTCATTTCTTTTTTATTTTGTATAATAATAATGGCTTTTCTTCTTCTCTTTCCAATCGAACAATACCACCTGTTTGGTTCTTTTTTTACAACCCATCCCCATTACTAGTAGACTCGCTCTATTGGCTTATCCAACTGGTGCCAAATATGCCAAGATGGGAGACTCGTGGCTATATGAGTACTGGTGAATCGCCAACATCATCCAGGTTTTTGAACAAGTTCACTCTTACAGGGAATAGAACCTTAGCACCGGCACTCCGAATTGGCTAACAACCCACTGAGCCATTCTACTCTACGACTAAATAAATAAATAATACTAACATTTATAATTAAACTTTTCCTTCCTTTTTGTTAGTAATAGTATGCGGTAGTTTTTCCTAAAAGGTCGAAGAGATAGAAACACAAGCAAGAATTTTTAGGGATTTTTCTTCTGATGAATTTAGACTATAATGATTTCGGACTCAAAATAATTTAAGTAAATAACAATCATTCATCATTCATTTATTCGCTCATCTCCAAAATTCTTGGAACTACTAAAATTTAATCTGAGAAAATTCATTAAATTACCAGCGAGATTAATCAACATGGAAGAGTGGTGCTAGAAGAAGAATTTCAATTTTATCATCTCAATTTTATCATTTTATCAAAAAATCATTTAAATGGTTAAATGAGTTATTGGTTCCATTTTGAGTAAAAAACTTGTAAAACAGTAAAACTTGTCATATTTGAAAAAATCCTGGTGGTGCTGGTCGAATCATTGGTACTACTATCTATCAGTAAATGATTCCCTTCGTAAAATTTATATGTTCCGACAAATCGTCAGCTGAACAAGTTGAACCAGAAACGAGAAATTGTCAGGTCCATTCCATTATTCCTAATCCTCAAAATGAGTATAACTCTATTTAGCGATTATTTTCTTGTTTAAGTGGGCTTAAAATAGTTATTTTGATAAGATAAAATTTTCTACAAAAAAATTATCAATTATTAATTTTTCAAATTTTTTTAAATTTGATTCAAAACCTTTAAAATCTCTCTTAACAAATAATTTTTATTCATTCATCCTGAAATAATTTAACGATTTTCTAAAATTTTCTTATTTTATTTATATTTTTGAATTCTACTAATTCTGCTAATTGAATAGTTATTTGACGCGTGACACTTCTATAAATTTTTTATTTAAAACTCATAAATTGTGAATTTCATGGATGAAAAAAATTCCAATTAATTGTTTTTTTCCTTTATACTTTTTGATGGAAGCAGAAAACCTGTCTTTGAAAATGAAATTATGGCGGCTCTAACAAGTTTTTTGTTTTTCTACTCTTAAATGATTCTCTAGTAAATTGGTACCACTCTTGTTGGTACTAATTTTGGGGGCGTACTAAATAAACCAAAAAATTAGTAAGCCTTTATTCTAATTTAATAAATTCTTTGTTTTCCCAGTAGTAATAAAATCATGATTTATGGATATTTTGATTTGTGATGTCTATCTTATGGTTATAATTTTTAATACTACTTCTGTCTTAAGTAGCATTTTGCACCAGTACAGTATTTATCCGAAATTTGTGATTTTTAAATTATAAATTTTTATAAATCTGGTCTATTTAAGAAAACAATTGGCGTTTTTAGCGTTTTTTTTTCATTTCTGTTCAGGTTAAGCTATTTTTTTCGCTGGCTTTAATGAGAAAATTATTGCCAGAGAATTTAGTCTCTTGACGATAGACGATAGGTGAGCTTATTGCCAATATCGCACCATCGTACTTAGTGATTGATTTATTCCTGCGGGAATCAAGGAATCGCACTTCTAATGCATGTTGCATATTGAAGCTATTCGACCATATCGGCTTATCCTTTGACAATTTATAATTATTTCTTTTGATAGTTCTTCGCGAAAAATTATTCCAGAAACTTGTTTTATATATTTTGATGGAAGAATTAATTCCTCACGAAATTGATTCAAAACTTCTTAAATTAATCTTATTTATTATTATTATTTTTAAATTTGATTTCACCCAAAGTCAAAGAACTCTTTAAGTTTCAGAAAATTTCAGAGAAAAAGCTATATTACTAGTAGAAAGATGATCTATCCATTTGGTTTTTTGAATTACAACATAGATGGAATAAAGTATTTTTAATTATCAGCTCTTGATATCCTTTATTTTTAGAGTATCGAAATTTTGTTCATGGTCGAGCGATTCAAGACTTCAGTGGTGTTACAGCTGAAGATCTTACTTTTTCAACTGGTGATAATATTTGGGTAATTTTATAAATTTTGGCAATTTTTTATATTTTATATATTTTTTATATTTTTTATATTTTCATTTTTCATATTTATTTCATAAAAATTCATAATCATTTATAATCATTCCCTCTAGCAAATCGAGTCCAAATATTTTAATATTTTTTCGAATCATTATTACAAGAATAAATAAAGAATTATTTGAATAGATCTTCCTCATCGTAAAGCATTCACTATTTGCTGGTTAGACTCGCTTTGCTAGCTTGTTGGACTATTTTGCTAAATAATGGAATTTGGCATAAGTGCACAGCTCGCCAGCATTACTCGGTTTTTTGAAGATTTGGTTTACTACTCTTCTTGAATGGTTCTCAGCACTGGTTCTTCGAACTGTCAACCTTACAATTCGTTGAGCCATTTTACCTCCTTTTTCTTGAAGCCATTTTCGATTCATGGTTGTAATCATCTTTCCACTAATCGGATCCTATCGTCTTTTTCTCTTTTTTCTTACCCCTGATAAAACGTAAAAGTAGTGAATATTGTGGATCTTGCAGAAGGGATTAACATGGTTTATCCAAAATTTTGCCAAATCTCATCGGGAAATTGAAATTTATGAAATATTCCCCTATTCGACTGGTCGATGAATATGCGATTGATAGAATCGATAATCGTATTATGAGAGACATATTGCTTTTGTATAGTTAAAATCTTCCGCTTAAGATTCACCTTGGATAGTTAGGTTTACAAGGTCAAAGAAATGTTAAATTTTGTGGAGTTCACAACGAGATTTATGAATTTGCATATGAATTGCATATATTATTATAAAAATAGGTTATAAAAGTATAACATTTAAATTGGCTATAAGATAAATAAATAGATTGACTGGTCCTATTTTATAAATATTCTAATCGTCTTGACGGAGTAGTGCTCGAGCCATTCAACTATACTTCTGTCGCCAGATGACTTCTGTTGGTAAAATTTTATCGGGTAACGCACGTCAACCGAATGTGAGCCTTATTTTAGTGTCTACGAGTGTTATATTTTTGCTTTTTGATTGATTCATAGAAAAATTATAGAAAATTTTTTAAAAATTTAAAATTACTTTCAAAATTATAATTTTAATCTTCAAATATTTTATGAAAATTAAAACAAATTCTTATTTTTATTTAAAAAAAAAATATTTAAATAAATGATTTTATTTTTAGATAATTGAACGAAATTGTTCAAATTCTTTACGTTGGAAAGGTGTTTTATTTGGAAAAAAAGCAAATTCTCGAAGTGGTTTCTTTCCTCGTTCAACCGTTGAAATTATCGATAAATCATCGTTAACAAGTTTGTAATTTTTAATTTAAAAAAAAAAATTGAATTTTAAATGATATTAAATGATATTGCATGAAAATATTTATATTTGTCGATTATTTAATTTATATTTAATTTATGTTTTAATATTTCTTATCGTTAAGCGATTTAGGTCATTTCTGGCTAGACTGGTTCCATTGGTTAGTGTTTGGTACTTTGGTAAGAGGAAATAGGTTTATCCCTAATATAATATTGTTTAGGTTTTAATAAGACGGATGGATGCCTATTAAAAGTAGGATTCAAAGCAAAAAAATGATGATAATTTAAGGTAACTATACGATTTTCTTACTCTCTATTTACTTCTTAAATTTCTAGTACTAGATCGAATGATAATGATAATCGGATTTATGAATAAATAATTCCCATTTTATTCCATTTTGCTCATCACCATGGAAATTTGATAAATTGAAATTTTAAAAGAAAACGATAGATGTCAATTATTTTTCGGTTATAACTTGAAATCATTGTTGTAGGTGAATTTTTTGATGAAATTCAACAATAATATAAAAATTACAGTACCATTGGTAGGCATTTTATAAATGAATGGCATATTTTTATAATAAATGAACAAACGAAATAAACGAAAATTTGTCCATTAATATTAATATAATTATTGATTTCTTTATAAAAATAAGGTCAACCGAAAGGTCAAAACTATATGGAAACCTATAAACGAACTAATTATTACAATATAATTTTGTGGTTTTGTTGGATTTCTTTTTTTTTTTTACTTATGATGAAAT